TTGTAAACAAGCCCTTTCTTACCCTTTCTGTGTGTGCTGCAGTTGAGGCTATTTTAAGTCCCCTTTGGGGCACGGGTGAGGACCCGGAGTCCGGCGACGTCCCGTGTCGGAGTTGTCCTCTATCGAGACCGTGCTCATGTGCACGGCCAGACACAGGCTCGTGGCTCAGGCGGCGCTAAGCAGCCGGAGCCCAGCGGGTTTCATCAGAGGCACCAAACAGGACGGAACGTGTCCTTGGGCTCTGTACGGAAAACCCGAGGACCTGCCCGGCACACTGGGTGTGGGAGCGATGCCCCTCCTAGTCCATCAGCAGGCACTGCATGTTGTCGCATAGAGATGACCAACCTTTGGGGGCGGAGGGGCATGGGGGGGGGCAAGACAAGAGGTGCACAAACACCACCTGTGCGACGATGGACACCACTCTGCTCTCGGGGTCAGCTTCTGCTGCTGGCCTGTACCGCCTCAGACTCACACTATCTTTCTAAGTGGTAAAGTTCCACCAAGGGTAATTCACAAGTATGGTAGATGCTTTTTTAAGCTTCTGATGACAACAAAGAATCAAATTTTATATTTATATGTAAATATATGTATACACACACACACATATAAAATCACATAAGCAAGAGGGATTGGGTGAGTGGTTCATTTTAGAAATCGCAAACACCCAGGGCGCCCACATTTTTCTCTATTTACACGAGGAAACTCCCAAAAGGAGTCCAGATTCCAAAATTGTTTTCTCACAAAATTCATAGGAAAGAGGGAAGGCCCAATGAAACTGCGAAAATCAGTCTCTGGTGGCCTTTATCCTGTTATTCTTTCCCTCCGTCCTAAGTGCCCGGTTGACCCCGCCCTGCTCGTCTTCCGCTGACCTGCTCCCCAGCTCTCCCAGCTGGCCAAGACCCCAGCACAACGTCACCTCTCAAGTGAAATCCCGACCAGAACAGGGCAAGTTTCTTCTGCTGAAATCTCAACTGAGAGGCCTTACCAGAGGAGTTCCAAAGCCGGGCAGCGTACACAGCAATTATGAAGAAACAATGTTGACGTCCCCTGGTTTCTAGAAATTGGTTCCTATTGCTAGTGAGAACCTCAGGGTGAAAATATTGGGGGAAAGGATGGGAAAACCCTCAGGGAGACTAACCCTAATCACATAAGAGGCAAGAGAGGTTTAGAAAACCACACATGCACACAAGCTTTTGGGAAGCCTGCCGCCAGGGGTGTGAGAGCAGAAAGGGGGCTGTCCGGGGGCGCTTTCCCAGATGGGCTCTCCAACGGCTTCACCCAGCATTTGGAAGTGCACCCCAAAGCACTGGGAACCCCAGTTCTCCTTTCACTTTTGTGAGCAGTTTCAAGTCAAAAACGGAAAATTTCATAAACAAAACTGGCTGGCGAATAGCCCCACTCCAAGCGCTCCCCCCCCCCCATAGGCTCTGTTTTGAGAGCACCTGAAGACTAAAGCAGAATAAGACTCAAAAGTGAACTGATGGTCCTACAGCTGAAGCGGAATGTTCCCTTCCAGAAGCTAAATACCAGCCTGCAGAGGAAGACACCTGCAGATGGTACAAACAGAAACGACGATGGCAAAACAGTTGTCCCCTGCTAGCCAAGAAACGGATAACGTAATAGACAACTTTACAATCGTGAATCAAGTGCCCATCAGCTCCAAAGGGAAAAGGCTCATTGTTGATACAGGTGGGTCGCTCTTGACCGGGAATGTGCCGCTGCTGCAGAGCTCTCTGAGTCGACAGGCTTCCGGGTACGGGGTATCGCCAACACTCCTCGCACTCGGCCTGTCCCCGTGGTCGCTGAATGTTAGTCAACAAACAGTCCTTTCCCACGGAACACTACCCCCCTCGCTTCACAAGACGGTCACGGTACAAGCAGAGTTTCCAGATCAGATGCTCTCCTGAGGCCTTTTCCTTAACTCCTGGGGACACTGCTAGTCACCCCGGCAGAATGAAGCGTGGCTCCAACACAGACGCTCCCCCTTCACGAGGCCAAGCCCAACTGAGGTTTTGGAGAAGGCTGGGTTCCTTGTCACAGAACTCACAGTTATTCTGTCACAAGTCCTGGAGCGAAACAGACTGAGGTTCATAACGACCCACCCAAGGGCCAAACCCACGTGACCCTCTCGAGGTAGAAGGTCAAGAATGACGAAGGCCGGCTGTCACACAAAGAAAGGTCTTTCACAGTCTGCCCGGGATCTTTCAGAGCTGCCCCGACGGTATAACCACACGGCGTTTTCCCTTGGAGGCTCAAGGGAGGACAAATCTGGGGCCAGCCCCGCTCAGGGGTGGGCACACTCACTTCCTTGTGGCTGTGTCTGAGCACTCCACTTTCCGGGTGGCTCCCAGATGGCTTAGAAGCAACCTGCAGTTCACGCCACACGGGCTTCCTCAATGTGGTTGCTTACTTCATGGAACCAGCAACCAGAATCCTATGTTCTGGTCTGAGTAAACAACATGACTCGACAAGACACAACAACAGGATAGACAGCGACTTTGCCACAGACCGTAATGGAACACCCCACCCCCTTTAACAGGGATAACGAAGGAAATGCAGGCCATCATGCTTCGCCATAGTCTATTATTTAGCAAAGCTGACCCCAAGTTCTACCCACACTGAAGAGGGGATTACACAAAGGTCCTCACAGGGTAGAATAAGGACTTACCATGTGACCAGCAATTCCACTCCTAAGTATATACCCAAAAGAGCTTAAGAGGGATTCCAACAAAGACTTATATACAACATCCATCATCACGATACTATTCATAATCTCCAAAAGGTAGGAATAAAAGTCCATCAACTGATGAATAGACCTAATTGCTACATTCATACAACAAAGCATCACTCAGCCGTAAAAAGGCAGGAGCCATAAATAAGCATGACACAGATCTTATATCTATCTTAGTGTATCACCCAACCTCCTGATTTTCAGGTAAAGAGTTTCTATGGAATTTTTTTTTATAAATTCAAGTTCTCTGGTGCAATCTTCACAGGTTTATCAAATTTCTCCACAGTTTCCCTCAAATTTGACATATTAACCACATTTCAGTTCTTATTAGCCAAGTCCAGTATTCAAAGCATATGTGGACCCATTTCTATCATCTGTTCTTCTCTAACTCTAGATGTGTGTCAAATGACCTACAGTGGGTATTAAAATGGCTAAGTGTGTAAAACTGCTCTCCCAGACCACTGCTCGGCCCACCGCCAGTCAGGGATGTGCTGCAGTAATAAACAGAGCCCAATTCCTACCGGCCAGGAACTTCATCCAGGGCAGGAAGTAGACACTAAACCCATCATAGTCAGAGGGCGCCACAGAATCTATGTTTCCTACTACACACCTTACCTGTTGCCTCAACTGAGCCCTCTCTCCTATGACCCCTCTGGTCCATGACCTGTTTATTCAACACTAGGTGCACCTCAACCTCAACAACTTACACCTGCCTCTGTCTTCCCAGCATGCTTTGCTCATCTCCCTGATGTCCACATCGCTTGCCTTGCCACCTTTTTAGATGGCTTGCTTCACCTAATTAAAGCTGTGACTGATCCACTCCTTTCCTGGGGTATTCCCTGTCCCCATTCCCTGTTTTGTTATAGCATGTACTATGCATTTTATGACTTCTTTATTGGCTGTCTCCTCCTAAAATGTAAACTCCCTGAGGGCAGGCTTTATTTTTCATTTTTGGTCTGTTGTATTTACCACTACATGCAGAGTCCTCCAACAATGTCAGACAAATAGTATGCACTTGGTAAATATTCACTGAACTGGCAAGTGATTTAAAGTGGGACTGGTGAAGTGCAGAGTTCACTGAGGGGACATTCAGCAGGGGCCTAATCTAATCCCAACAGTCTGGGAGCGCCTCTGTGAGGAATGTACACTGAAGCCATTATCTAAACAATGAGGAGACAATCAAGAATGAAGAAATACAATCAATACATTTGACAGAGTTAAGTGCAGAAATTTCAAGAATCTGAGAAATGCCCTTATGGCTGCAACACACAGAACACATGGTAGACGGGAGCGACACACACAAGGCCAGTGATTTAAAGGTGTGAATTTCTTTCATAATTATTCAATGCTGCCCCTCTCGTGGAAAATCAGCACAGATAAATCAGCTGTGCGCCTCTAAAACATTACATGGAGTCATGATTTACCAGTTCCCGGGAGAGAAAATGAATGAAGCTTGGAGCCTGTCGAGTCTGTCATGGGAACAGGAGGTCCCGGCCTTCGGGGACTCAGCCTCCTTGTAACCAGACAGAAGGCGAAGGGGTGGGGGGATGACTACAGGTTAAGCCATGTATGGGCAAGAGCTGAGACCCTTAGGCAAGGGCCAAGCTTGCTAACTCTCCTGCACACATGAAATGGCCCCTCACAATGAAGAATGCAAAAGAAGCAATCGGAGTAAAGACTTTTTAGGGACTAACTCAAGCCACCAGGCTGATGTCTACAAAGTAACTCTCTTCTAATGAGAAAAGATTAAATCACTTTTCTCCAGGGGAGCTGGGACCCACACACACACTTTCTGCATTCCTTCGTTAGAAGCGTGAAGCTACCGAAGGAGCTTGCAGGTGAGAAGTTGATGCTTGGGGTCTATGGTTTTATAGGTAACACCACCACTTTCCATCAGAAAAATGATTACATAATTACATTGTACCCACAGGGCCAGAGGCACAATGTCAAGAAGCAAAGAGAACTGCTAAAGACACTAAGTATGCAGCACCATTTCATGAAATCCAGAGAGATGATAACGGTGCATTTTCTAACCACCAATCTTTTCCCTATGAGCGTCTGAGGCAATGCTGACTTGTTAAAGGCAAGGCTTAAGTGGCTTCTTGCTCTTTTCACCTTACGCCATTTAAAACAACAAAGGCCAAATGACATTTTTTTACCCCACATGTCTATTTTTTTAAAGTAATAAATGCATTTTATCTCACACCTCAGAAAAAAACGTTTGACATGAAGACATGTCCCGTAAGGATTGGAGCACGTCATTTCTTACCTTGACTACGCCATCAAAGCCAGGGATCGTGTTGACCTTGGCCTTCTTAGCTAATAATTTGCTTTCGATCTTGTCGCCCATGGCCTGAATAGCATGTGTCTCGGGACCAATGAAAACGACATTCTCCGCTGCCTGTGGGGAACACAAGAGGGAGTTCGGGTGAGAAGATCACAGGATTTGCTGACAGTCACGGCTTTACAGAGAGCAAAGCCCATGTGTAGATTAAGCAGTCACTTCCATACTAAAAACCACCTAAAAACAAGACACTGGAGCCCACAGATTATAATGCACGGCAGACAGCACATGGCTCACGGGCCCTCAACACTGGGCTTCCCCTGTGGCACATGTGCACACAGAAGTCAGAGAGAAATAGCAAAGAAACGAACAACTGCTCCATCCAACAGTCCTCGGGAGCAAGCGGGGACTCGCCAGGCAGAGTAACAGTTCCACAAAGCCCGCACTGTACAGAGCCCTCCCTGGTGGCGCAACGAGTTAAAGCGCAGCACTCTAAAGCTGGCCACCGCCACTGCGGCACGAGTTCGATCCCGGCCAGGGAGGTGACCCACACAGCATGGCAGACCTCTCCTGACTTGCCCACCCCCCCACACCTCTGGCCTGTATCCCAGTTCTTGTATGTATAAATAAATCTTTTGGAAAAAAAAAAAAAACCTGCACTGTACAAATCACATTTCCTGTTATAATAAGCAAAATGTAAATGAAGTGAGTGGTAGTCAGGAACGGGACAAATGCAGGGAGGTCTGTGCCCCCAAAGCTTGGTCTGCAGAAGTCCAGGAGCTGAGGTAAAGGCTGAAGGGATTAGGTAAAGACGTGAGGTTAAATATTAAAAAGGAGAAGCCAGCTTTGCATGCTGGGTGTCTCCAAGTAAAGGGTGTATCTGTCGACTGGCCACGACCTTTGGGTGGGGAGGGGACAGAAAAACAGCAGGCTTGATATCACCTGTGCACATCGCTTCCTACCCTCTCGCACTGATCCCTGAAAGGACACAGGATGCAGCAGTGCGTTGTCCTGGGGAGAACATCGACACTGTGTCGGCCCAAGGGGCTCTCTGGGTCACCACGGCCCAACAGAATGAAGCCCACCCACAATAGGAAGGAAAGTGGAGCAGGGATATGTGAGCAGACGGAGGCCTGGGAGGCGACCGGCGGCGCTCGGGACGCAGCTACTGCGGTCTCGGGCTACAGGACGAGTCAGGCTGCGGTGAAGAACTGTAAAGGCCTCAGGCAGAGGGAGATCAAAGTTGCAGGTGAAGTATAAAGTCACTCAGAGAAGACGCACAGAAGAGCCAAGGCCTTCAGGACCTGTACTTCCACTTATGCCCGGGAGCGAAGCGGAACAGGGAGTTTTAGGCTGTGAGCTTAAAATGTCCTCTTCTTTGTGTGACACTGGGGATAAGAACCGCCTCGGAAGTTTGACTGCTAGGCTGAATCAACTAATAATGGAAAACACTAAGCTGAGTAACCCAGCTTAGTTACTACTTCTTGTCTTAGTTCTTCCTTGTCCCCGATCCAGAAGTTCTAATACGAAGACAATACCCGGATAAGAAGATAGCGAGGGGAGCACGACCCTGATACGCAGTATAGGAACCTCACACCACAATTAAGTGGTAGCAAGTTAGAGGAGGACCCACTTCAGTCCTCCCAGGTGCTGATGAAGTCCCTCTCATCAAGTGTTTCCAGGTCGTTTTAATAGAAGAACCTTATTTTTCTGGAAAGAAGGTACATGAAACCCAGGAATGGTGGGTCTTCTCTTACAAAGCAGTGGCAAGCCTACCTCTACACGTACTCTGTCTCCAGCTGGATAAACCAGTCATTTTGGACCAGAGCAGTAATCATATTCAATTCTCTTTATCCCAAAACCTAAAACCCACTAAACACCAAGAAAAGTCAAGAGCAAACAATCATGTCTCAACTATCAATTGTCTTTCTGTATTCTCATTTTACTTGCTAAAATGGAGAGATTTTTATTATAAATGCAGTTTTAAATACCACTATGCCAGGCAGATGTAATCAAGTAATCAGAATGCCTACACAGACAAAGAGTTGAAGAAATAACATAAATGAGAACATCCAAAATACGTTATGATTATACAGTAAAACTTCTGATTAACAAGAGCCCAATGACCAGGAGCCACTGATTAAGCAGGTTTTTCTCATGCATTCTAATTTGAGGAAAATTACTTATTCAAAAATGCAAAATTACCAAGAAAAAAACCCACATCAAGTATTTAGTGGCTATTCTTTGTTCCAGTCAACACAAAAGAAGAATAGCCAGGGGTAAGCTGAGTAACTACTCAAACAGCTGTTTCTATGAACCACTTCCTTCTCATCTATATGTTTGGGAGTATCTCCAGGGTTAGGCTTTAAATGTAATTAAAGCAAAATGAGAAAGCAATAGCCTAGCTCCTTACTCCCACCACTTTTTAACCAAAAAAGCAAGGATGAGGTGGAGGTAAGACAGAATGGGAATTACAAAGACTGAGTGTCTTGACCCAGTCATTCGTGTGAGTTAGAACTTAAGGGCAGAATTTATCCACTAGTAACCTTTTGATCGTCTTTGCCACCCCTAAAGGACCCACTTATGAGTGAGCTCGGCTGCACTTCTGTTTATTCTGTACCTTTGCTATCTCTGTAATTATCCATTCCCCTTAATCATCAGTAAGTCCTTTTGACACACCATGGGGAAAAAAAAAAACTTCTAAAAATACACGTTTTTAATTTTCAAAATTACACTTTCAAATCTACCTTCATGATAAATGCAATACCTAAACACAGACAAACATCTTACAGTCATGAAAAAAGTAGGCATTGTTTTCATCACCACTAGAAAAAGAAATGACAAAAAGCTCAGAGCATGAAAAGCTTCAATCACTGCTCTAAGATGTCTTTGAAATCCTGTGATTTTATGGTCTCGTCACATCTTGACTGAATTGGGGGAAAGGTTGGGATTCAACCTTATAAGAAAGAAGCAAAGAAATTTAATTTATAATGGGCTTTATGTTGGGAATAAAGGACAGGTATAATCATCATTTGTAAAAATTAAAATGTATGGAGCCCTCCCTGGTGGCGCAGTGGGTTAAAGCACACCACTAAGAAGCTAAAGCCACTGCAGCATGAGTTCGAGCCCCACCCCGGAGGTGACCCACATGGCGCGGCAGACCTCTCCTGACCCGCCCACTGCTCCCCTCAGCAGTGTAACTTCATCGATCTGCCTGCTCTGCTCCCCACTCTGTCTCTGGTAAATCCTCTCACCTCATCTCTGGCCTGTACCCCAGTTCTGTGTGCATAAATAAATCTTTTTTGAAATTTTTTTAAAAATGTATGACACATAATTCACCCTAATAGCACAAAAGTTGGTAAGTAGTAGACTATTGTATTATGAATTTTTTTTTAAATGTATACACTTTAGGCTCACCAGGAATTGCTACTTAGATGACCTGTAAAATCAGGGTCAGAGCTCAGAGGCACAACCTAGGGACAATTGCTAGACATTAACGTATTCCTTGCTAAAAGAAAAATGGGTTTCTCTTAGAAAAGGACAGGCAGACGGGTACACAGAAGACAGCATTTGTTATAAAAGTAATCAGTGAGAAAGGTTTCCAAGATGAATCAGCCATAGCAAAGCCATGTAGTAGCAGACAGGGAGGCCCATTGAGTAGGATGGTGAACCTAGTAGAACAGGTGCCTGCAAACTAAAGTCTGTGGTCCAAACCCAGCCTGTTACCTGTCGTTATAACGTTTGCCATCTAGAGTTGGATTTTGTCTTTCTAATTGTTCAGGAAAAATGATTGGAAAGGGGCCCGCCCTGGTGGTGCAACAGGTTAAAACACAGCACTATGAAGCTATCACAGCCACTGAAGCAAGAGTTCGATCCCCCACCAGGGAGCTGACCCACAGGGCAGGCAGAGCACACCTCTCCTGACTCTGCTGCTCCCCTCAGCAGTGTAGTTCAGTACCTTTGCCTGTTCTGCTCCCCACTCTGTCTCTGGTGAATCCTCTCACCACATCTCTGGCCTGTACCCCAGTTCTGTGTGCATAAATAAATCTTTTTTAAAAGTTATTGGAAAAACTTAAATACTACATCATGACAGTGACAATTACATCAACATGAAAGACTACTGCATTGAGACAGTCATACTCGTTAGTTTTCATGGGAAACAGCTGCTTTCTCATCCCCAGGATGCTAGTGAGTACTTGTAACAGACTGCAGGACCTGCAGAGCCAGAAATATTTGCTGCATGACCCTTCAAATGTGTAAGGAAAGTGTGTGCTCTTGTACCTGCTACGGAGCTTCAGGGAACCAAAGTAACTAAAGATAAATCAACAATCAGACCTTGTTGAAGTAAGATGTTTCTCGGGCCAGTCTGCCAAGCTCTTCAAGGAACTTCTGGCTTTCTTTTTTTTTTTTTTTCTAAATGTATTCTCAAGTTTGCCTGGAATCAAAAGTGTACAGCTGACCACCATTCTGTACAAAATGAACAGGGGGGAAGGCCACCCCCACCCCCACTAGAGGTCAGGTGCAGAAGCAGCAGAGAGGAGAGGTGGCAGCTTCACTGGCTTGGACACCCACAGTCAGGTCAGGGTCCAGCCTCTAGAGCATCCCTGCTTCCAAAACACTGAAATTTTGCTCCATGGATGAATGAGGTCAAGAAGAGCTCATAAGGGTTGACAGGCACTCTGACAAGTACCTACAAAGAAAAAGGTTCTTCCAGAGCACAAGAACACAAGGTAGCCACAGGTGATCACTCGAGAGTGGTAGAAAAAGGTCCTGCAGAGCAGCAGAGGGAGGGCTGCCATGCAGGCTGTGCTGAAACAGAACCCAACAGGGAAAACCCCGCCTCCTCCTCGGCCTTCTCTCCCCTTATCACCTCCACATAGTCACCGTCTGGTGGCAGAGGGCGACACTGCACTGAGGGCCACAGCTGGGCTCCACGGGGCTTGCAAGCGTTCTACACGGCATGGTAAGTGTGCAGACACAACGTGCAGGCTGGGTTTCAGAGAGGCGCTTGTGTTCACTCTAGGCAGTATTAACTCGGTAGTATTTCTTTTTAAGTTAAAAACAAACAACTCAGTTTAATACCAGGAAGGAGTTTTAGGCCAGTTGACACTGGGGCC